AAGATACCTTTTTTTGAGATGTGTATTGAGATAACACCGTTAATATTATAATTAATTATAGGAAATAATTTAGGATCCGAAATTTCCAATTCTGGTTTAACGAACGTGGTACTAAAATATTTAGCGAACAAGTTACTAATTCCTTCACCAGTGTTCGCAGAAGATTCTTCGTAATACATTACATTAGGAGTAGCAGATGCATTATTCCTACTTTTTATAAAAGACCAGAAAATTTTTGGGTTACTAGTTATGGAAGATTCGACTTTATCAATATAGGATTCATAGCAGTCCCGCTCTAACTGGTTAGCCCTTATGCGTAATAATGCAAAAAAATTGGTAGTCGGATAAATTACCATATAGTTTAAACTTGTGATGATACCTGAGTTTTTCTTTTAAGACCTTTAGTAACGCAGAATTACACCATGGAGGATGTGACGAACGTCTAGTGGATTTTATGGGAATAAAGTGGTCCCTAAGTTCATATAATTTATTATAAAAGAGATTAACAACATTGTCTAGAGAGTCATTTCACAAAAGCTCATACCAGTTTACTTGGTCAAGAGCTGAGCTGATAGCCGTGTCCTTCACCTCAATCAATCACCTTTGTGAAAAAGATAAGTGTTTTCTTCTTATCAACTAATTTGTATATTTCAACAAAGCCAGCCTTTAAAATCAAAGGTTTACGGTGCATATCTGCGGGCATTGCTAATGGTTCATAACATTCCTTAACATCTACAAGGTCATTAGAGAAAACCAAGTCAAGTAGTCTCCCACTTAAGTTACGTATACAATTATATTGAGATAAGCTGCAGGTCTGAACAGAGTTGAGAAAATCAGAAATATATTGACAGGAATAATTGGTAGGTAATAACTCACAACTATCGCTGCAAACATTCCAATCTACTTGACTACCAAAATTGAAATCACCTACGATTATGAATTTATCACACGAACTTGACATAATTATGGTATTAATATTTTGTGTGAAATTTTGCAATTGGGTATTATATGAGTTACCGATATTTTCTTTACACAGGTAAAGCGTACAAATGTTTATATTATATGTCACATAGAGACTCAAATATCTTCCGCTGAACTACGCCAGTCACCCCTCTCCACTACCGAAAGATCATTCCTCACAGCAATTAGTACACCACCCCCACGCGTTTGTGAAGTACTACAGTAATTGCGATCCCGTCTCCATAATAAATATTCCCTTAACCACTCGTGTTAAGCTTAAATTGCTTGTGTTACGAGTGGTTCACGCCAGTAGTCGAATGGCGGATTCGAACCCACAACCTTTTTGAGTTCACGGTCCACGCCCTGCCTTTAGGCTACTGTAGCTTCTGAGTATGACATAATCATCGGCATATAAACACACCGGTCACATATGATAAATGGAGGCTGTGGCTCATAAGCCTCTAAATCTATCTACTATTACGAAACAAAATGAATACGCATTGTCAACATAAGAACCGACATGGAATGATTCGTAACCAGACAAAAAGGCCTTCGGTTCTCATCTTTCATAATACCACATAAAGCAGATTTATACTGTAATTTCATGCATGCGTTCAGTATGTGGTCCTGTTCCGATCGAACGCCAATTGTACCGTAGCAATAATACACTGCAGCGTGGCTCTACCACCTAAAAGCTAGCATATATTCATCGTCATCATTATTTTTGAGCCAAGCCAAGCAAGAAAGTTCATTGTCTAACATAGGCCTCCCCCACGGTATGCCATAACACACTGTCCTAAGCCACTTGCATCCACTGACTTCTTGCATTTCTAACAGGCAACACAGCTTACATAGCTCAAAAGATTAGAGACGTGGCAAACAGTTTAGTAAAGTGGCGGTAAAAGCAGATATTCTCGCATTGGTAATGCCCATAGAATACTATAATATATACATAATAGAACGGGTGGAGTGGGCGGAGCCCGTGTAACCACTAAAATGTCACTAACATGTCATTTCACACGCATAAATGTTAACACGAGATGTGTTTTGACGTTACAATCGTTTCCAATTTTCGCACGCAAATTGTTTAGAAAATGCCAAATTGCACACTATTTACAAATAAATATGCATTAAATTTAAACTTTTTTTTAAATGATGATTTTTAACATTAATCAAAAGTCTAAAATGTGTAAATTTACTAAGTCTGTCAACAGCGAATCGGATTTGTAATAGTGATAATAGGACGTAATTGCTTGTATGTGCTCCCGGCGACGCCGAACCTCATACAAAATAAGGTTGACAGCCATTCTATTGTGTATTATAGTATTTTATGGTAATGCTGCAATCCAGAAAATTGGGATTCAACGGTTTTTGACGGTTATTTCACAATCAGTTGGTAGACAGCGCCTCCTACATCAATCAGAACCACCACCAGTTAAGGTTGGCACTTGCAGAACAGTAGGTGTACAGCAGTATTTTTTTAAGAATTAGTGTGACAAGCGAGCACATTGTCCACATAATAATTATGGGATGCTGTGGCCTAAAGATTTCTACAGCTACCCTCGATTAAAAATCAAAAGGCAGATGCGTTGTCACCACTGAGGACTGAAATGGAGTGCCTCGTCACCGCTTAAAAGGGCCTCCAGTTCTACAGCCTCACCATACAAAATATAGCAGCATTCACGCTGGTATTTCGTGAGGGCTTGGTTCTTCGCAAACAAGCTGACCCATTCGTACAATAGCCATAATATAGTTACAGCATGGCTTGAATACTTATTATTAAAATATATATTATAAATCCTTATTATTAAAATATATAATATATAATTGTTATTTGTTATACAGCGAGTAGCGACGAACGACATTCAAAGGCGCCATGTTCACGCAATTACGTTGAATGCGCGTGCGCAGGGCGGATACGACGGCTTATAAATAGCCAATGGTCTATTTTGGTCGGGACATAGCGCGCGGTGTCGGCCATGTGCCACAAAACACGACGTCTGGGATTCAAATTGTTAAAATTAATTAAATTCCTATGCTACTGACTCATTTTACAATGGGATACGTCTTGTGTTTATATTTATATTGATTCTTAACAAAGATCAAAATATATAAAATATTTAGCATTGGGTTTTGTATGTATCATTACAGCCCGTCAAGGTTCCACAGCTAAACATATATAGGGAGGCATACATAGCCGGGGAACTCTACGAAGCACTGTCCTAAAACACCTGCATCCATTGACTTCCTGCATCTCTTACCAGGTCGTCTCTCATCTAGCTGGAGGTCGTCCTACACTTGATTACCGGTACGAGGCTATCATTCAAGAAAATTTCTTCCCCATCTTCACTGTTCTTTGAACCACATTGCCGTCCCATAGCTTTCAGTTTACTGATTCGTTGGACTTTGTCGGTTACTCTGGTTGTATCGGGACATCCTCATTTCACTTCTCTCTCATTACTTTTACTATGGTGCTCTTTACGATAATGAGGATATCGTAATGAACACCATAACTGAAATTGAAAATTCCTAATTCCTGTAATATACGGAAATGTTATCGACAAACTTATTTCCTACAGTCAAACTATATGTCACATTAATTCAATTAACAATCACTGGCATAAACAAACAAAATTACATTCCAGTTATATAGCTAAACATGACTGGTATGTGTTCAAAGCAGGGTCAGAAGGCTAGCATAAGCCCGCTTGACAAATATTTATCTCTCCATTTGCCACCATCAGAAATACTTTTCGCGTGGGAACCCGCACTTAAGCCGACCGTATTTCCGACAAATGCATTACCAGTCCTTATAGGTTCTTAAGTATAACACGTAAGGTGCAAAATGCAAAAGATCATGCTTTTACAACTACACTATCAATACGTGTAGATGACTTTTTTCCCAGAGACAATTTTTAGCACACATTGCGTAAGAAAATTTTCATTTTTCTAGAAACATTATTTATTTTATGTTTACAAACTACACGAGACCACCCAAGATTTTTAATGTATGGGCCTTTCTCTACTAACAGGAAAATCATGGTCCAAGCGTGTTTTTTTTTATTTTGGCTATATTAATGCATAGTTCTATTTATCAAAACACATAATATATAACCTGTTATTTAAGGAGCCAAGCTGAATCAATATTTAGAATCATAATCATTTCATAAATTCGGTCTAAAAGCCACTAAAAACAGTCCTCTGTTATGTCCTAATTCTGGATCGAGTATGATTCGGTTCGGTTTTTATTAGTTGTATTTAAAAATGTGAAATCTTATAAATCTATGAAAATAAAGAATATTGAATGAATGTGAACAAAAAACAATTATAATTTTAGAGAATTTTTTTGTACTAAAAACTAGTGTTTGAATTTTGTCCGATACATTTTTGAACAGTCCTCTGTCACAATTTGAATATCGCGCCACAAAAATATTAAACACTATTGTGGCTACATTTCGCGTCAAACGGAACATTAACAGTGTGAAGTTTGCTCGGTTGCCATCCTAAACAAGTCGCCGCCATTTTTCCCAGTGACAACTCCGCGTCTGTGTGGGAGCCACTTCTCTGTAGTGTTGAGTGAACTTTCCTCTGGTAAGTCTATTTTACGGTATTTTATGTGTTTTAATTATATTTATTTTACAAAAAAAAATTGCTCAGTGTGATAATTTATAGCTGTTTCTGTGTTATGAATTAATATTTAAACTTATACGTGGTATGACATTTTTTACGTAAAAATAACAGTCCTCTGTGCAACAGTCCTCTGGAAATTTATAACACAGAGGACTGTTCAATGTGACAGAGGACTGTTTTATTTGACGTCCGTGTATTTTATTAATATTCTTTATAGTCTGCACTAACCTACTGCTTGCCGATAGCCTCTTTCTTTCTTACATTGGCCTGTCACGCTAATTCAGGTCTTTTGTTTTCTATTATGGATTTTGGAATATAAAATAATACGTACCTAGTAACTCCTGTTTTTAAACCCCTACGTTTTTTTTTTTAATATTGAAAGTATGTTTTATTGTTTTAGTATTGCCGCAATGCCACCAAAGAAGAAACCTAAAACCAAAGAAGAAATAAAAGAGCAGAAACGAATTGCAGAAAGATTAAGATATCAACGGCTAAAGAATGACCCTGTAAAAAGAGAGCAATTGAAGGAAAAAGAACGACGAAACTACCAAAGAAAGAAGGAAAAAGGCATAAGAAAGTCAGTTAAATATATGAGTCGACGTGAACACAAAGCTGTGACTAAAGAATGGAGAAAGCACTGTGCTACATATCGCGCAAAAAAAAAAGCTTTAAAAGAAATTACAAACAATTTTGTACGACATAATACGCCTGAATCCGAGGGTTCACCTTCTCCTCAAAGTTCTGTCGCTCCATCAATACTACCTATGACCACTCCACGAAGTGATGCAAGTAATGCGAGAAAGCGTAATGCTAGAAAGAAACGTGACAAAATTATAAAGGATAAAGACAAAAAGATCGAGTATTACAGAAAAAAATCCGAGAAGTATAGGAAGAGATTAGAACGTTTGGAAAAAGCTAAGACAAAGAAAAATGTAGACACACCTAACACTAAACTGACCGAAATGTGTGATTCGCCAGGAGCTCGCAGAGAAGTAGTCAAAAAGGCGCTATTCGGTGAAGTGTTGAATGAGAGCCAGCTGAAAGAGAACTACGCTAATTTAAAAACCTGCAAAGAGAAACAAATATTCGGAAAAGTCGTGTCCGGTAAACTAATACACAAGTACAAGTTATGGCGAAGCAAAGATAGTTCCATATCTTATAAAACAATTCAGAAGTCAGCGCGTCAATCGGGTTTAGTACCCAAGCTTCGGACTCGCAAAGACAAAATTTCATCTGATTGCATAAACACTGTACGAACCTTCTACGAAAATGATGACAACAGCAGACTTGGCGCAGGAAAACGAGAATGCCTGACCAGAAAAGGGGTTAAAAAACAGAAAAGATATCTATCGGATAGCATTGGAAATTTATACAAGAAGTTTCAAGCTGAACATTTTAAAATAAGCTACCCAACGTTTTGTCGTCTACGTCCTTTCTGGGTCATAACACCAAATGTAAACGAACGTAACACGTGCCTCTGCATTAAGCACGCGAACATCGATCTGAAACTGTCAGCATTGCACAGAAGAAGAATTTTGACTTACAATAGTCACACTGCACTGCTTGAAAAGACATGTTGTAATCGCTATGACGAGCTATGTTTGTCACGAACCTGTCAACGCTGTATTGACAAAAATCCTGACTACAAGGAGTTTAATGACAGCAAGCCTATTGAATTTAAACAATGGATATCTGAGAAACAAACTTACAACGACCCCAAGACCAAGAATGCTCGAACAGTTACCAAATACCTAAAGAAAATGTTCACGGTTCGCCCTCGAGAACTAATAGAAGAGCTGCACGAGGATTTGGAAGCCTATTATCAACACGAGAGAAACATTACCCATCAATACAATGCTATCAAGAAATACAAACAAAACCTTACCGACGAAGACGCTATCATACATATGGATTTTTCAGAAAATTATTGTTCCAAATACGGTGAAGAAATACAAGCATTTCATTTGTGAAGACGAGTGCCAGCATTTCAATTTAGGAGTGTTAGAGTACAAAAACAAGACAAAACTTAACGTAGATGATATTTACACAGACTCTGAAAGTGAAAACATGGACAACTCACAGAATTCCACAATGGAAACCGAAGACGACGGTGCACTGGCTGGACCTAGTTCAATCAACCAACAGAATTACACCATCGGTGATTACGTCTTGGTTAAATTTCTAGTAAGAAATACTGAATATTGTTATGCTGCAGTAATCAATAAGATAGACACGGAAGAAGGCGAACTAACAGTAACCTTCTTAAAAATTTGTGATGACAAAGGACACACATTCAGAGTCGATGAAAATGATGTTTCTGATGTGCCCTTTGACCAAGTAATAAAGAAGTTGCCAAACCCAGATGTTGCCCTAAAAGGGAAACGAATATTTTATTATTTTAATATACCTGTACCTGTTTTTGAGAAATAAGTCTGCATTGATAAGTAAACAAGACTGATTCTTAGTACCTAAGCTTAATTTTGATTATAATTATTTTAATTTGTTACTTAGAGAGCTAAGCTCGCAATTTGTTCCTGATTTATCATCAATACTTATAAGTATTTAAATTCTGTATGTGATTTAGTATTAAATAAAGAAGAGAATTTATTTGATTACATTTAATAATTAATATTGTATTTTTCTTCATATAAACATTGACATAAACTGTTCTCTGGGTGGAAAAAACAGTCCTCTGGGTGGCAAAACAGTCCTCTGTCGCATTTTTTTACAAAATTGCCTATAATTCGAAAAATAAGGGAAAATTACAATGGTTTCTTGTTTATATGTACTTATATTATAACTATCTATCGACTTAACATATAATATTTTTAATTTTCTAGAAAAATAGGGTTGGGACAACTGTCAATAGACAAGTTTCCAGTTAGTAGAGAAAGGCCCTTATATACTATTCATTATTTATGTTAATGGCTACGAGCGGATCTATTAGACGTCAAATAATTTCATCCATTGCGTAGTTTTCAATTGTAATAGTGTCATAAGAGTTTTCGTAATTCACACCAATATAAATAAATTAACATTGAAGGTAACTCGTATGCGGGTGGTTACGCAATAGGGTTAATCAAGTGTGAATGAGAGTTTTAATGTGTTTCAATAGCAATTAGCAATATTGTTTCTTTATAAATTCAAATATACGGTGATAGAGGGAAACTGAAATAGAAGATGGGCATCTTCCTGATAACTTAAAATATTAAAATATTAAACTGCACTTGGCAACCCGTCTGCCTAGCGGCAGCTATGGCAAAATTTCCTCTAAGAGACAATCTATGGGAAAGTTATGTTCTGCAGTGGATTTTCATAGACTTTTTAAGTAATAATAATGCATTGATTAAGGAGTGAGAGCCCACTCCCATTTACATATTTTTATCTTAAATGAGTTACTACTACTAATTCTAAATAAATTCATCAAATTCAAATTAACTGTAATGCATTTTTAAATAAGGGTTAAATTCATACCTAAAAAGCCTATAAAAAAATTAGCTTTTAGTCCAAGTACCACACTGGACTACTAAACGGAACTACTATTTGTTTTATGCTACCTCTTTTCATATTTGTTAGTAGTCACAACATTTAAGAATGAAAGCTCACTTTAAAAAAAAACAGAAACATTAATAATAAAAAACAGAACTTAAAATCCAAAGCACGTCATACACCTACAGAAAAGTTCAGTACATTGACCTGCCTTACAACGACCCCTCTAAGAATAATTAAAGAGGGCTTCCTTGCGGATTACGGTGACTAACCTACGGGTAGATACAAATTCAAATTTATAAATGATTGTGGTGAAGAAAAATGAAAAAATCTTTTTAATTTTTTCTCCTTTATGTTTACAGAATGCCTATAATAAGATAACTTACCGAAAAGGAAAAAGAGTTAGTAAAGTTATCTTATACTGAAATTTACAAAATGTTTTTCGACTAAATTTTTGAAACGAAACGTCTTTACGCGCTATGAGGGTAATTTTTCAAGGTCGCGTCACGATATTATTAATATGAGCGTCAGATTTTAGTGCGACGATTTTAAAGGAGACAATTTATTTCCCACCACAAATTTTAAGGATTCTTAATGAAATGCATGTCGATTTATTCCTTATAATTCATAGATTATAATAGTATTATAGTTTCACTTCTGACATGCGTACTCTGTACACATGCTGTTTTTTTTTGTATTGACATGGTAGAGTCACGTTGCAGCGATGCTAGGCTATACATAGTAACAGGACGAATGTGTCGACTCTACCGGGAACATACCAAGCTTTCACAGAATACCAGCTTAAAAAAGAAGAATAATACTACTGTGCGTCGTATGGTGAGTTTAGAGAACCGAAACCCCTTTCTCATGCTGTAATTTTTTCATAGAATAAGGGTGACAAACGAGCACACAGTCCACCGTATGGTAAGTGGATGCTGTAGCCGAAAAGACGGAATGCCTCGTTTCAAGTAAAAAAGGGTCTCCGGATCTCTACACTCACCATACGAAACACAGCAGTATAAAGCTAGTATTTTACGTTGGTATTCTGTGAGAGCGTGGTTCTTCCCCGCTCGAACCGACCCATACGTGCTACAGCCATAATATAAGCTGCAGTGTATAAATAATGTCTATGGGCCATAGCGTCCATTTACCACATAAGGACCTTATCCTATATAAATATAAATTAATAATAAATAAAAATAGAGTAAAAGTATTTAATGTTTTTATCTTTTTATTAATTAAAAACATACCGACATCAATATTCTGCTATTTTTGGAAGATAGGGAACGGTCGGCGCCATGTTTGATTAATGTGTACAGACTAAAAATATACAAAACTGACACAAGCGAGCCAGACACGCTTCACAAATTAAATTATGTGAAACATGATTAGCGTTAATTTTTTCAACGTCTTATAAACACACCAAAGTAACATGTATGGGAATTTTCATCGTTTAGCGGCGAGGCGAGTAAAGTAGAAACGCAATCGCCCGAAATAACAGCATTGTCAGACATTAAATTCCCGATGAAGCATTAATGGTTCATTAATTTACTATACGTACGAGGTAAACCGCAAGTTTATTTTTAAAAACGATTTCTTAATAAAATATTTTCCCTGTTAGCGACATTAGGTACTATGGTTAATTATCAAAATGTTGTAAATGAAAGCGTAAAATTTTTGTATAAATATACACAACGAAAACTTTATTTTATATATATATGTATATATATATATATATATATATATATATATATATATATATATATATATATATATATATATATATATATATATATATAGGATGGGGTAACAAACGAGCCGACAGTCCACCTGATGGTAAGTGGTTGCTGCGGCCCATAGACATCTACATCTATCCTCGATTACGAATCAAAATGCAGATGCGTTGTCACCCGTGAGAACTAAGATGGAATGCCTCGTCTCAAGTAAAAAGGGTCTCCGGTTCTCTACACTCACCATACGAAACACAGCAGTATTAAGCTACTATTTTACGGTTTTAAGCTGGTATTCTGTGAGAACGTGGTCTTCCCTCGGTCGAGCCAACCCAATCGTGCTACACTGCTACAACTATAATACTAATATAACTGCAGCATGGCTCTACCACGTACAATTTATTAATAAATATATGACCGCTTAATTTTAAATCTATTGATTAGTTTAATTTTCTTGACATTAAGATTTAAAGCCACTCATTTCAAATTACGCATGTAGTAATTTTTCTATTTAATTATTTATGGCACAGTAGGTCAAGACATTGCATCCTGGGCTACCCTGTCACTGTACAGAAGTAATGCTTGCCAGCTAGCGCATCCTTGGACAGGCCGATATCTAGCAGACTTAGAGAGGCTATAATAATATCATAGTTAAATAATCGTTAGTAATGACGTTTTAAAAACATGTAGTTATGGTAATATGGTATTATACCTTTTTATATATATACCCGCCACCTGGATCTGTCAGCATTTTGTGATTTTATGCTCAGTAAGTGATCCTAAACCTAATTTAAAAAAAATGGATCAGAAATTCAGTGCAAAGTTGATCAAAAAAAAACCGTCTAATTTTACTGTACTAATAGTCCTGTTATTAAAACTATTGATAAAAAGCATACAATAATAAAACTTTACTGCACAATTTAACGTAAACATTGAATTTACATTCCAAAATACATACTATAATAAAAGTTACAATTACAATCTCACCCGTCGTTGTATACAAAACTTTAAGCAATAGTTATTCTATTGCTTAAAGTTTTCATTTGATTGTGCTTTTTCTTATCGCAATGAGACATTTTCGAACTTTGTTGTAGTTATTATTTTCGTGGTAATTTCCGGATCTTACGGGGAGTACCGGCAACTTATGTACTGTTCTAAAATGAGGTAGTAAAATAATAACGAAAACCATTACGAAAGAAAGGTATTCATAATAGATTTTAAACTACGTTTCTTCAGTATTTTATTTATTTATAAAAACAAATATATAGCCTCTAAGTTATTCACCAACATTTCGTTGGCATTGTTTCAAGAAAAGAAATTAAAACCGCGTAATATATAACAAACAAGGGTGATCTTGTAAAGCAGATCTATATTTCTTAAAATAAGCATCTCCATTGGTAAAATTACGCCAGCTGTTGACCTTTAGAAATAATTGAAAGCGCCGTAGTAACAGCGGTATCGAATGGGCCAATTTTCGGTTGGTCAAAAAACCTAAACCTTATGAGCACCATAGAATACTATAATACGTACATAATAGAACGGGGGGAGTGGGCGGAACCCGTATAGCCAATAACATGTCACTAACATGTCAATTCACACCTATAAATGTCAACACAATGAATCGTTTCCAATTTGCGTGTCGAGCGTCGCTGCATGCAAATTATTTAAAAAATGGGAAATTGTGCAATAATTACGTGTCGAAATAACAACGGGAAATGGAATTTAAATAAAGGAAACTATCCTACAAGGAGTAAGTCGAAACTATTTATAATTTGTAAACATTAGAAACAAAAATAAAGAAATATTGAAGTGTCAAAAACATTAATCAAAAGATTAAAATGTGTAAATTCGCTCAGTCTGTCAACACAGCGAATCGGGTTTGGAATAGTGACAACACGACGTAATTGCTTGTACGTGTGCTCCCGGCGACGCCGATCATCGTACAAAATAAGATTGACAGCCATTCTATTGTGTATTATAGTATTCTATGATTAGCACTATTTTAATACGACTGAAATGCCAGACGTTGGTTAAATATTGGTGTTTTGCTTAATTACTAGCTGTTTAATATAAGATTAAATTGGCTTGCGACATGTAGAACATAAATTGACATTACTTAATTAAGCGACAGCGTAATATGTTTAGTTACTCTAAGGACAGCACCAACCAAGTGTTTTTGTTTTATGACAAACGAGCACACAAAGCACCACA